TAATCTCCAAACCCCAACCTCTTTACAACCTTTCTGTGGGTGAGAAGCTTAAGAGTTACAAACCTGATTTTTCACCTTCTTTAGAAATTATATGATCTTTTACCTCACTTTGGGATTGTGAAAAACTAGATAATAGGCCCTACATAGAGTTGCTTATGTTAAGCCCCATGTTACCAAACCAAAACTTTACTTAATAACAGTTTTGGCTCTCCCACAAAGGGAATCTTAAACCAGTCAGTCAGGAATTGCCTGGTCAGCACTAGTTAGGTAATCTTCCTGATAGACCCTGCTATCCCTTAAAGGAAAGTAACCTTGTGATAACCAACCTACTTTTGTCTAGTATAACTTCCTTATTCCTGTTCCTTTCTGCCTATAAAAGTCCTTCATTTTGTACGGCTTTGTGGAGCTTCTTTCTATCTGCTAGATTAGAGGCTACATGACTCATGAATCATTAAATAAAGCCAATAAGATCTTTAAATTTTATTCCATTGGATTTTGTTTTTTAACAAAATGTAACATCTTGGTGCCTCAGTGGAAACTTGCATTTAAAAAAAAAAAATCCTGTTCTACTTGAAGTCATGAAAAATTTGAAAACAACCTACAGTCTAGTAATTAAACGATATTGGGGTATAACTATTCAATATAATATTCTGTAGCACCCTCCAAAAAAGAATGAGGACACTCTTTATTTGTTGATTTGAAATTATCCCTAAAATATAGTGTTAAGCAAAAAAAAGGAACAGTGTGTAGATACAGGAGGCAATTGCTATTTTTAAAAAAGTGGAAATAGATATGTTTTTGCTAGTGTTTAATAAAATATCTCTGGTAGGATACACCGGAAACTGGTTGCCTCTAGGGAGGAATATTTGGTAGCCAGGGATAGCTTTTTGTACTTTTTGAAATTTAAACCAAGTGAATATATAATTATGTTTAAAAAGAAGATAATGTTAAATTGAAAAAATGCATGTACAGTGAGGAAGTAAAGATTAAACTGATTCTTTCCAGAGCCTGGCTGTGAAGGAAAGAAAAGAGCAGGAGCCAGAACTGGGTGCAAGGTTGAGGAGTGATGTTTTATTTTTTGTAGCAGAGTCATGGCTATTCCATGATTTGTATAAGACTATGATGGGATTTTGGAAATGCTACTTCTAAATTATGGCTCCTTGGAATATTGAATATTTTAGGCTAAAGGAGTTTGAGAAAACAGCAGAAGCAGGAAGGTCACTCTGACCTTACCCCCACTGGTCTCCCCTGCAAGAGGTCATAAGACCCTCATAGGAGAGGTGCCCTCTCAATACCTGGAGGGAGAAAACATCCTTATCTGCAAAGACAAAGAGATACCAAGAAGAATCCTAACAAACAGGTCTTGGTAATTTTCCCCAGTTTATTGCACTTCCTTCAAACTCTCTGAAATATCATATTTCTACATGACTGCCTACTCTTCAACCCAAGCATAAAAATACTCAGGTCCACCTGTTTCCTCAGGTCCTCATTTCCTTATGAAGGCTCCCATGTCACATAAAACTTGTGTGCAAGATATTTGTATGGTTTTCTTTTGTTAACCTTTCTTTGTGTCAGTTTAATATTCAGATCCAGCCAGGGACCCCAACAGAGTCAAGGAAAACTTGTTCATTCCCTATAGCTATTATATTGAATCATGACATCCTTTTCCCACCCAGGTATTTATTGACACCCACTGATTTACAGGAGACATAGGGTCCTCCTGGGAAATCTTGAGCTGTATCCACAATGGGGATTCAGACGTATATCAATATGTCTCCCAAATGGTGTTTGACTGGAGAGGGTGGAGAAGAGACTGGAATATTTGACAGGACTGTTGTCAAGAGAACTCTAAGGAGTTATGTTCTGAGTTTGTCATTCACATAGAAAATGGTGTGCAAGGAGCCCTCTGGAGTTGTACAAAGCTTCAGGTCTGTTGGGACACACTTGCCATTAAGCTTCTTAAAAAACATTAGGGCAGAGGTTTGAGAGCCATAACCTTCTCTTCTGTCTGCATACGTAGTTGTCCAGGCACCATGCAATATACTGATGCTAGTGTCCTCACTGAAAACATTGGCGGGCAGGACGGTCAGCAGGACTCTGCACCCCAGCATGGAGCCCTAGCTCAGCAGAGGTGAGGCCAGCAATTAGATATATTACAGATTCAGCTGGAATCTTCAGAGGCTGCTGAGCTGGAGACAACAGTGCCAATAACTCTCCAGCTGTGGATGATAGAACCTCGACACAGGGGCAGGGAGTGGGCTGGGAGAGGAAGGTCTCTGGCAAGGCAGGAGCAACAAACACAGCTTTTTCATGAATATATGTAAGATCCCCCCTTCCTTTTGGGGATCTCACATATACTGGAGACAGAGGTGGGTGAAGGTTGGAGTTAGAATACTTGGGAAGGTGCAGGAAAACTTTTGTGAACTACTTTTTTTTTTTTTTTAACTTGGTGCAATTTGAGTTCAATCTGGAAGCTGATGAAACCTGAGAGCATTTGGGTTCCATAATATTTTTATTTATTTATAATTTACTTTTTGTGTAATAGAGATTTGTATATGTTTATTAGCTGTGTTTGAGTAATTAAGAGGAAGAGCTTGAACATAAAAGAATATAAGTGAGGGAGGAAATAAACCAATTTGTCAGGGTCCTGGTCCTAGAATTGGGGGAAATGGTGGAGAGATAGGATCCAAAAAAGGGCACCTTTTCTACAGAATCAGGAGGGGAAGGGGGGAGGAAATGGATTTGTAAACATGGATTGGACTTCCTCAGTGCAGTCAAGGGCTGTCTCGTCGGCTGAGAGATGAGTAAGACAAGAGTGGACTGGGAGTCTTGAGGAGAGCCATGAAGATTTAGCTACTCCTTTTGGGGAATTGTGGTTGATTAGACAACTATAAAACAATTGTTGAGTGGTGCCCAGGGCCCCACTGGAGTTGAAGACCATGAATTTTAAGTGACAGGACCTTCCCCGACCCCTTAAGTCTCTAGGTTAGGTGCCTTCCTGTGGGCTTCCATGGTAGTCTGAATTTCTGTATGATAATTATTTACCACACTATGGTGTAGTTGTTGAGCTTCCCCACTCCGAGAAGGAGGAATCTCTCTCTTATTCACTGTTGTATTCTTTTCTGAGTCTAGTATAGTTTCTTCTACTATTTTTAATGCATAGCAGATGCTCAACAAATATTGGCTGAATAAGCATCAGCAATATGGCAGTTGTGAGATTTCTCCCATCACTCTCAGATGCCAGGGTAGAGAAGCAAAAGAGGTGGGTGGTGTAAATGGTCCAGAGTGATTAGAAGATTTTCAGGTGGGTTTAGCAGGGGATGAAGATGTTAAGGGAACTGGCAAGAGCCTTGTTGACACATGCTCCGTGAAGATTGGGTTGGACAGGATTTGAGAGGTGGTGCATGCTAAGGTGAGGGAAAGGTCTGGGGTGAGGCCATGGGAGTGGAGTGTTTATGGGAATCATTAGAGCTGGAGCAGGGCTAGGATGTGACGTTGGCAGGTCCAGATGTGCTCCTGGCCTTGACATTCTACTTCTCAGTGCATTCCTCACAACCTAGGGAACCTCCCACCACCAAGGATAAGGAGGAGGAAAAAGTTTAAACAACAAATAGATCCTACTTGAAAAACAGATTTGTGAGTGGGAGAAGAAAACAGACATTGGAACTTGATTTTTAAGTGACAATCTTGACATTAAATTCTTACAGGGAATTTTTCTTTCAAATAGTTAACGTGAGATTTACAAAATCATGTCATTAAACTTTGCAATTCTCCTAGCCTTGGGTCAGTATTATTTTCTTGGTTTTGAAAGCGGGGACCATACCCGAGTCATCTTTGTAGGCCCTGGGCCTAGCATATAGACTATTGTCCAGTAGGCTGGCATTGACCTAAAGTCTATCCCCAGGTCTTGCACCTAATTACTATGCTAATAATTAGAACCTATTCCCGCTGACATCCCGATCAATTAAATTCACATGCCTGTTTTTTGAGCTATCCAAGAGTTTCCCTTTCTAGCTTGCAGATATTCTGTTTAGGTAATACCAGGAAGGGCAACAAGACAAGCTTTGTACAGATTTCGGAACTTTATGAGTGAGGAACCCTCACAGGTTCTGGAAGACTGCATTAAGAACGAATGTCTGCTGGGATATGAAACATCACATCACTCTCACAAATAGGTTCTGGATATCCTCTCTTGGAGAACCCTGAGCCAAGGGGGTTCCCACTCTCCAGAATTTTACAGTCAGGTGGAGAATGGTGAGAATGACACAAATAACTACAAAAGAAGCAGAATTGTGGAGGCGCCAGAAGGAAGATAAAAGGCCATGGAAATTAACAGAGAGAAAGACACAGCGCTCTGCGGTACATAAAGGGCCTTCATTAATTACACTATTATAAATAAACAACTTTTATAAGTTGCATATTACTAATATATTTTACATTGATGAATAGTAAAATTGTAATAAAATTATGGTATTAAATCATAAAATGAAAAGTTAGTTCGTAGAATGCCATAGCAATTCCAAGGAATATAACTAATACATTATCTGAAATTAATACTTGAAGATCAAGAAGCAATACAGCAGTTGAGAAAGGAGTTATTAAATGATAAAGGATGTCACAGTTGAATATTAATGTGGAGGAAAATAATTTAAATCCATGCCTCATTCCTAAAATTTCATTAAGTTCCAAATGAATTAGTGGGTTAAATTGTATTACAATCAGAAGAAAATAGAGTCTATTTCTCCCACCTATGAGGAAGAGATATGTGTCTGTTAAGTTATAGATTTTATATCATTTAATAGAATAAATCTAAGAAATATGACACATTTCTCTTAGAATGGGAAAATTTTAAGACCAACATATAATACAAACTTACTGTTAAAAATAAAGAAATTTTATATGTATATATATATATAGTCAGAACCCAAAACATGGCAGATTAAAATGATAACCATTTATTTAGCACCTGAGTCCATGGGTTGGTAACTGGGACTAACGCACTGCTCCTTCTGCTGGTCTCTGCTGGCTTACCCAGGCGTCTGGGTTCAGTGAGGTGGTCTGGCCTCTAAGGGTTGGCTAGCTGTCGGCTTGACGCAATGGGGCACCTGCTCTCATCATCTGAAAGTCTCATCGAGGTTTGTTCATGTGTGGCAGATGGGTTCCAAGTGCAGCCAGAGGGCAAACTCCAATGCATAAGTGCTTTACATGTGTCCGCCTGCATCACAATGGCTACTGTTCAATGAGCCAAAACAATCACATGGTTGGTCCCAGAGTCCATGTGGGAGGCCATTACCAAAGTGTGTGGAATCGACGAAGGGGCAGATCTGTGGCCATTTTTGTCATCTACCCCACATCATAATTGGCAAGGGAGCCTGTCAGCTCTACCACAGAGAACAGTAGATCATCGTGTGGAAACTTCCTAACAGTAATAGTGATTAAAGAAATGCACATTAACGTTGGCTTCTAGCCTTTATTTTGTAGAGGAGGAGACTGAGGCCCAAAGCTTTGTTAAGATGGTGCAGAAGATGACTTCCCAGCCTGCTGACCAAACAAGGTCTTTGATACCAAGTCCAGTGATAAAGGGCAAACCTGGGTTCGAACTCAACTCCAGCATTTTCTAGCGGTATCACTTGTATAATATCACTAAGCCTCAGTTTCATCTCTATAAACTTGGAAAAATAATACTTACTACATAGATTATGAAGATCAAATGAAATCATGTGAAAATACTCTGCGAGTGTCCTGGTACCTGCTCAGTTCATGCCTCCACCTTCCCTTTTCTATGATGTAATCTTATACAACCAGCAACAAAGGAAAGCAAAACAAGAAAAACTCGAAACAAAACACAGAAGCAAAATAAATAGTTAAGCCATAGGGGCCAAGAAGAAACTGCTATGTTTGTATACAACCAGTGACTGTTTATACAGTTATTAATTCATTAATTATTGAGTGCCCTTTCTGGGCCTGGGCCCATGCTAGACAATGGAAATACATCCCCTGCCCTCATGGATAAGTCTAACGGCAGAGATGGACAATAACCAAAACATCACATCAGTAAGTATGAAATTGTGACCTTAATTAGTGTTATAAAGGACTCTTGATTAGTGCTAATAGGAGAGCATATAATAGGAAGACATAACCCAATTAGGAGTGGGAGGGGGCCGGGGAAGACCTCCCTGAGAAATGAATGGGTTGGGGTATGAAGGGGACGGTGATGGTTATCTAAACCAGGGTAGGTTCATCAGAAAGGGTCAAACCACTTGGTTCTAGGAAATGACAAGTAATTGTCTTAATCCTTAAAGCAATGTGAAATCAGGGAAAGATATAGAGAAATTTGGGATTTGAAAAGCTTTTTCTGGAATCAGAGTAGAGAACAGATCAGAGGAGAGAATGAGTGGCTGCAAGGAGGTGAATTAGGAGACTATGGCAGGAGTCTTGTAATTTATAATTTAGTTCAACTTTCCGTAAAGTAATTGTAGACCTATTCATTCTACTTTGATATGTCCTAAGAAAATATACCCAAATACTTGTACATTCATTAAAAATGATCAGTGACTAACATTAGACTAATAACATACATTTTGGAATGAATAAAGTTAACTAAATGGGTTTAGGCAGCCAAGTCGGTGTTAAAATCCATATATATTTTTAACAACCAACAGGTCATAATTTTTTTGTCATTATCAATTTTAAAAATTGATAACAACTTTCCAAGCAATATTGGAAGTTTGACTTCCTTATTAGTAGTAAAATTTGTACAGACATCTCAAAAGTCTGGATTATTCCAGATAAAGTTTGGATTTCGGCTTTACCTTGGTTGCAGTTATTTGAAGATACCATGAGCCGAATTAATCTCACATAAATTCCTAATTAAGTGAAGCTTTTTTCCTGATATTCAACTCACTGTTCTAACTGCGTCAAAAAAGAATAGACCATAAAAATCCTGAGTGTTGTCAGGAAAAATTGTGAAAAGCTTTGTAACGGACCACTAAGATTATGGGGCATCTATAATGGTAAAACTAGACACTGTCTAGGACACTATTTGTGATTATCTGTTTTTCATTGTTTTGATATATTTTACAGTTCTGTACATCGTGAAAAATAAATAACAATCCAAATGATTCTTGTCCATAGAAATACCATTGAATAGTTTTTAGTGAAAAGAAGTGACTAATTTTGCATCTTTTATAAATTCACTTCAGCATTCCTGCTGCTGATACATCTGTGTTTCTTGGACTTTTCCTTTGAACAGGTTCTAACTTCTTATTGAGTCTCTCATTAATTCATGCAGTAAATAAAATCTTTGACCTGCATTCATTTTATTTATTTATTTATTTATTTTAAGATTTTATTTATTTATTTGACAGAGACAGCGAAAGCAGGAGCACAAGCAGAGGGAGTGGGAGAGGGAGAAGCAGGCTTCCCGCGGAGCAGGGAGCCCGATGCAGGGCTCCATCCCAGGACCCTGGGATCATGACCTGAGCCGAAGGCAGACGCTTAACGACTGAGCCACCCAGGCGCCCTGACTTGCATTCATTTTAAATGAAAGTCTTGTTTTTACGTTAAAAAAAAAAAATTATCCTTTTTCAGTGTCTAGTTTAGAGTGTCCTTAGCATTGAGCTGGGGGCCTGTGAGACACACAATTTGATGCACATGAAAGAGTTGCAAACTACACCGAACGGAAGGGGCCAAGTAAGCAGATTTTACAGTCGAGACTTCAGGTTGTCCCTGGATTTGAGAGAAGAGGGAGATTGGGGTTGGAGTCACCAAAAAAAGATTTCAGAGAAAAGGTATGGTTTCAGGGCTAGGACTTCAGAAAGCCCAGAAGAGATGGACTATAGAACCTGTTGTGGTAAGATAGAGAGGAAATCAGCATGGTCAGGTCAGAGAGATTTGCTCTTTGACAAGGGCCTGGATGGAAAAAATGACTGGGTGGCTCAGGCAGTTAAGCATCCTACTCTTGATTTTGGCTCAGGTTGTGATCTTGGGGCCGTGAGATCGAGCCCTGTGTCAGGCTCTGCACCCAGCTTGCTTCTCTTTCTCCCTCTCCCTCTGCCTCTCCCCTCCTGCTCCCACTCTCTGTCTCTCAAAAATAAATAAATAAATAAATAAATAAATAAATAAATAAATAAATAATCAAGGCTAAATTTTATTTGGCATCTACTATGTACAAGGCAATGCATGCCACAGATTCTCAAGCCTAACTACCCATTGGAATCACCTGTGGGAATGTAAAAATGCTGCTGCCCAGGCCCCATTATCAGAAATTCGAATATAATTGATCTGGGAAGGGAGGTGCCAGGGAAAATCCTCCAGATGATTCTAAAATGAAACCAAGTTAATGAACTACTGTGCTATGCAATTTACAAGTGTCCTTTGATTTAATTTTAACCCTTCTAGTAACCCCCTAAGAGAGGTATTTTTGTCCTGGTTTTCTAGAAGGGGGAACAAAGGCTCAGAGAGACTTGGTGATTTGCCTCGAGGGGCTGCTAAGACAATGAGGGAAATCTTGATTAGTGGTGGGTGGTTTGTGGAGAACACTCCAGGTGGAGAGAAAAGCAGTTGGAGTAGTGACATCGCATTCCTCCAGCGTATTAAAGAAATGTTAATAGAAGCAAATAGGACCCACAAAAAACAAATGAATACAAAGATAACAAAATGTGACTCATTTGGGGAGTCTTACTAAAATGGAGAGTCTGGGATGGAGATTTCTGCCTTTCTGATGATGCTGGTGATGCTGGTCCCCTGGGCACATTCTGATGTATTTTTAAGATTTATTTGAGAGAGAGAGAGAGAGAGAGAGAGAGAGAGAGTGCATGTATAAGTGGGGAAGGGGCAGAGGGAGAGAATCTTCAAGAAGACTCCCCACTAACCACAGTGCCGCATGCCGGATTCAATCTCATGACCCTGAGATCATGACTTGAGCCGAAACCGAGAGTCTGACGGTCAGCAGACTGAGCCACCCAGGGACCCCCACATTCTGAGTTTTAATTGTAAGTTTTAGAGGTCAATGCAGACCTCTGTGGCTCAGTTTTTTTTTTTCTGTAATTGGGGTCAGTAATTGATCCTACTGATGTAGATGTTGGGGTTCAGGGCAATCAATAAAGAATTCTTGAGACATCTCTGGTTCAAAAAGGTGGTTTTATTAAAGCTTGAGGACAAGACCCGTGGGCAGAAAGAGCTGCACTAGGGTTGTGACCGGTGTCTGATTATATACTTTCAAGTTGGGAGGGGGTTCGGGACAGCACAAGCCTGCAAGGAAATCTAGAAAGAAGGTTTCCAGGACCCTGAGGGGGGCTAGCTATTGTTAGGAAAAGGTCATTTATTACTGATTAATAAAAACTCACTCACGAGACTCCAAATGTTTATCAGTGGGCCATATATCTTGGTGGGGCAGATAGGGATAAAGGAAGTTTCCAAAGGAATTTTTGTATGTATAAAGTAGACTCACAGGATCCTGGGGGGTCGGGGTAATGTTAAGCTAAGATTGCTTTTTGCCTGTAGCAGTGTTGACATTGAGGCAACTGAGTTCCTAGAGGAAGGTCACTCCGCCTGTTTCAAGGACTTGTCGATGGGCTGTAAGCAGTAGGGAAATTTAATGTTTTCTTTTGCCTTTGTTTCCCACGTCACTACTACATGAAAGTTGTTTATGCATTAAAGCACAGTATCTGGGATGTAGTAATCACTCTACAAACTTTCATGATAACTCTGTAATTTGCTTTAACTTTTAAAAGACTTCTCTTCAGAGCAACGTGGCATCCTTCTGGGGGTTAAGGAAATGCTAATAGAAGCAAACAGGACATAGGAAAGTTAGGGTAAACGATATGCACCCTCGCTTTGCTGACAGTATTTCCATCTATGGAAATAACAAGTATGAGTCTTGTGAAATTTGGGGGTCTCAGTATACAAGTGGGGAGCTGAACTTTTTTTAATGTATTTGGGTTTATTAAACCCCATAGTAATTTTAGTACTACTTTTCTGTAAAAATGAATCTCAATATATGAAATAAAGTAGGAGTCTTACTTCTATCTTTTTATTTTAGACATATAGTGAAATTCATGGGAATACAAATATAGGAATTACATTAAATTAGGGATATTTTATATTAAAAGTCAGCTATGCTAGAAAATGTTCTTAGGTCATAAACAGCAAGCTAGGATTTATATAGATTATGTAAGCTGATTTTAGTAACTAAGATACAGTTCCTTTTCAACAGATGCTCATTTTCAAAAATCTGTGTGTTTTTTTTTTTTAATATATGTAAAGCTGAGAAGCCCCTCCATGCTTTGCCCCACCTTTAGAAAAACTCTCTAGGGAACCTCATGTCAAGAAATTTTATGATAAAGGAGAAAACAGTTCTACATTTTACTGTTTGGGAGCTTGGTTTTTCTCTTCTATATAGTATGGTTATCACACTGGAAGAATCTTGTGTAGAACTATAATCTGGTTACGGATCCTTGTTATTAGTGTCAATGATAATTACACCATATATTTTTGACAGTTTTTACAATCTGTACAGGGCTTTCACATACATTATTTCATTTAATATGTTCCACAACTCTGAGTGGGAGGGCAGACAGTTACAACTGCTTATGAAGGAAGACAGGTGAGGTCTGCCCCAATCACATGGCTGATAAATAAGGGAAAAAAATTAGAATCCAAGGCTTCTAATTTTTAACCCAGTGCTCTGTACATGGCCCATCAAGTATTGCACTGAGATTCGGACAATGAATGTAATAATCTTTAATAATGATTTTGCTAAATATAGTCAATAAAAATGAAAAGGGGTAGGACAATGAACCTGGGGGAAAATCCAGAGAAGAGAAGAAAGCCTGTTCTAATTGTGTTGCCTTTCCTTTATATAAACCTACATTTATGTATATTTCAATATATATGCACCTATATTTATAGCTTTATTGAGATATAATGGACATATAACATTATTTAAGTTTAAGATGTACAACATGTTGACTTGGTACATTTCTATATTTCAAACTGATAACCACCATAGCATTAGCTAACACCTTCATCATGTCACATAATTACTGTTTCTTTTTTTTTTTTTTTTTGTGATGAGAGCATGTAAGATTTACTCTCTTAGCAACTTTCAAGTATATGATACAGTTTTATTAGCTGTAATGACCATGCTGTATATGAGAACCCCAGAATTTATTCATCTTCTGACTGAAGTTTGTACCCTTTGACCAACATCTCCCCATTTCTCTCACCTCCCCTTCTCTGGTAACCATCCTTCTCTTTGTTTCTATGAGTTTGGCTTTTTGTTTAGATTTCATATATAAGTGATATCTTACAGTATTTATCTTTCCACCCAATCTGCCTGCATCGCTGCTTGTGACCATAAGTCAGCCTATTATCCATCTGAGATCAATCCCTTAAACACACCCTAACATTTGCCCGACTGACACACCTCTTTCTTGAGTCCGACTGATATTTTGTTCCACTGGGTGGCCTATAATTCATGTTCTAGCCCTTTGACTCAATTATAAAAGTCACATCACCAGGCATAAAAGGTACATGGCAAGTGAGGAGTTTCATTGTGATGACTGTGGGGTCAGGGTCAGTGAGAAAAACTGAGGAACAGTAGAGATGGTGAGCTGGTTTGGCTGCATACCTTTCAATTTTTAGGTCCTTCAAGTTGTTTACTTTCAAAATGACCCTGGTCTTTGTTAATAATATTTCATAGAGCCTCTTTCTAACTCATATGGACACCAGCCATGAGAAATCAGGGACTTCATTTTGAGAGCACATTATTTTGGAGGATGAAGATGGTGCAAACATCCAGGGTTTGGCATGTAAGAAAAATGAAGTTGATTTTTTAAACAAACATATCTGCTAATTAGAATGTAACCTTTCTCTAAATCAGTAGTCTTGAAGTTTCTTCTATCTTATTACTTATTCTATCAAAGAACATGGCTCTCACCATAATAGTAACCAATTCCCACGTCTTTCCTAGAACAATGTCTATGTTTTGGCAGGTCTTCTCTCATGTGGGCTTAAGGAACCATGTTTGTAGGCATGCTATCAAGTAGTTTAAAGGACATAAAACTTGTGGTAATATTTTTGGGAGTAAATTTTATTGTTATAGCTTTAAAACACAACCAAATAAAAACAAGGATTCCATTAGTAGTTGAATATTGTAATAATAGAGTTGAGGATAAATTTTACTGTTATAGGAACTATAAAACAGCAATAATAAAAAACACTATTATTGTGAATAAATTGTTTGAGATGACTAACTAGAAAGCTATAAAACACAACGATAAAGAATAATCTAATCACCAGGAAAGATGTGATAATAATTCATCCTTGTTAGTGAGGAGTCCATGGTTCCAGTTCATTGGCCCTGGGTGCTCTAGGTTATTGCTTTCGTTCCGTAAGGTTGCAGAAAGATAATCTTTGGCCAGTGAATTGACAGGAAACCACATATTGCAGTGCAATTGGACATGGGGATTGAGGAAAATCCAATTATCAGTGACTGTTAGGAAAACCCTGTGTAGCAATGCCAAATGTCCTCACAACATACTTTAAGAAATTATTTGCAGGTTTCTACTAACAATTTGTATGTACTATTTGCACATTTTCATGTATTTCTTGTTTTTATTTATGTCCTTTTGCTTCAGAATAACAGCATAGAATTATATATCTGTTGGAGGGGGAAGCCTATTCTTATCTTGCTTTTTATTTGGATTACCATGCATCTTTCTGCCCTGAGTCCATCTTGGTCCAATTCCAAATAGTAGGAGAATGGAAAAAAAAAAACACTTTCAACTCCTTAGTTCCACTCTCCCTCTGTGGAACTCACAGCCCCATTAAAACCTTTGCTTCAGAGTTAGGATGACTGAAGTGACTGTTCTGGCCCTCACATGGGTGAGGGGAAAAGTGTTGTGGTGTTGCATTTTACCTCTCATTCTGAACATCAACAAAATTCAAATTCAAGATTTCTGAATCAACAATATCCCAAAGGGACGATGGAAGATCCTAACGATGAAGTTGCTATTATGGTGAGAGCCATGTTCTATGCCAATGGAGTTTTCTATACTCACTGCCTCCACTTTCTCACTTGGCTCTCCTTCTTTAATCAACTCTAGTCAGGCTTTTGTCTCTACCACATGTTGACTGAAATTGCTCTTTTCAAGGTCTCCAGGAACCTCTATCTTGCTATATAAGATTGCTAGTTCTCAGTCCTCATCTGACTCCATTTCTGAACAACATTTGGCCCAGCTGGTAACTCCCACTTTCTTAAAATGCTTTTCTCACTTGGCTTGTAGGACACAACAGTCTCGCAGTTTTCCACCTACTTCACTGGCTGTTCTTTCTCAATTTCTGTTGCTGGATTCCTCTCTTCTACCAAGACCTCTAAATGTTAGACCAGCCCAAGGCTCAGTCTTTGTTCTTGCCTTCTCTGTCTATGTTCACACCCTACATGAGCTCCTCATGTGGCTTCAAACACTATCTCTTATAAGCTGGAGTCACAAATTCGTGTACCTCACTCCAGCTTCCCTCAGCTCCAGTCTGCCATAGTTGCTAACCACTTGGAAATCCCCTGGATAGCTAATAAGCATCTCAAACTTATCAGAGTCAAATACAGTTCTTGAGTTTTCCTCTCCTCAAATCTCGTCCTCCCTCGATTTTCCTCATCTCATAAAAAGTCACCACTATTCACTCCATTACGTGGCCTCAAAGTCTAGGAATTGTTCTTGAGTTTCCTAATTCCTTCACACTTCACAGTTATTCCATAAGCAAATTTGCTTCTAAAATAAATTCCCCGTGTGGCCATGTTGGACCATATCACTATGACTGACTAGCCTGAGGCCCCATCATCTCTCCCTTAGAATGCCGGCTTTTCTGTTTCTATTCTGTCTGTTGCCCACACTCTATGCAGCAGCCAGACAAATTACTTAAAATATAAAACCAAAACCTTTTCAGTGATTTCTTAGAATAATAGTCAAAGTCCACACTATGGCCCACGGTCTCTACAAGGTCCGCCCCCTTGCCTGTCTCCTTGACCTCATCTCCCATCCCTCTCTCAATCCCACTTCACTCAAACACTGGCTTTCTTCCATTTCCTTAATGGGACCACGTTAACTTCTTCCCTGGGACCCCTATACATGCTCCTCCCTTTACCTAGCACGCTTTTCCTACAACCTTTTGCATGAGCCATATCATTTAGAACTTAACTCAGAAATCATCTTAAATAAATCAGGACAGGCCTCTCCATCTCAATATAGTCTTGGCCCATGATCACCCCCATCTCCTTAATTTGATTTCCTTTACTTGAAATTGTGGTTTTTTTGTACACTTGTTTATTGTTCTCTCAGCTCTATTTTGAGGTCTATAAAGCAGAGACATGGTCTGCCTCATTCATCTTGGTATGTTTTCATCTTTGTACTAATGCCTGGCATTTAGTGGGTACTTGTGACATTTTTGTAGAATGAATGAGTGAGTGAGTGAATGAATGAATGAATGAATACAGAACAGAGGATTTAGACTGGGCCCCCAAATGCCAAGGACCCTGTTTAAATCTACTTTACTGCGCTAAAGCTTGCCTTGCTCAATTAGACTTTTAGCAATGATCTTAACTTGAGCTTTTACTTTTTAGTGGTCATGTTTGAGATTCAGGCATATCTGGGTTTGTCTGAAAACATGGTGGGGTATCTGACATTGTCCTTTATGTGAGAGGGCTGTGTGAGAAAATCCACTTGAGAAAGGGTTTAAAATGTTTTCACTGCTCAGATTTGGAGAGACCTGGATTTGTTTAAGAAGCTGGTGGTGTGATCTCTCAGAACAAGAGAAGGCATTTGATCCAAAATACAGCTTTAAGAGGGGAGTGGAAATCCTAATAATAACCATGCCTACCATACCCAGGGCAGAAGACATACAACCCATTATGCCCAGAAAACTGTGTGGAGGGAACAGCAGGAATAATTAGCTCCTAAGTAAGTACAGGTGATAGGGATTCCTAGAAATGAGTACTTCACATTGGGAAGAAACTTCTTTCTGGATCTATTGAGGCCAAGAGCTTGTATAAATTTGGTTTTCAAGGAGAAATGAAAAATCAAATGGTAGTGTTTTCTACTATATAAGAAAGAAGCTATTTGAGGACATGATAGAGTTAATAAAACACCTGCTCACTTACAATTCTGCTGAGACATCCATTAACTGACTTACCTTGATTGTAAGATCCTCTGCCTTTATGCATTCTCAGAGATGCTTGATCCATTGACCTGCAGGAGAAGCCTAGGATTTTCTAGTTCTCTCTGCTGAAGAATGAAGCCTCTCCTTGGGACCCTTTACCTCTTGGGGATCCTGGTTCCTGAGGGGCTGGGATATAATGGGTGAGTATGAAGTTGGAAGACGGGCTGACTATCTTGACTTAGACTGTCTAAGTGGAAAGCTTTTTTCAAGATTAGTGTAGCTGGATTCTCCCCTCTTCCTACCCATACACACTACCACGAGATGAGGAAAATAAAGTTTTATCATTCAACATAAATGTATAAATATCTTACATTTTCAAGCACAAAATATGATAAATACCAATAGATATATCATGTTTTGTGAATGAAAGAGGGAAATTATAATGAAAATTCTATGTTCTTCATTTACAGTGTCACAATTGGTAAATTAGATTATTCTAATTTTTGAAAAAAATGTTAAAAGTCTAAAATTTCACCAAGATATAGTTACTCTTAATATTTTTGGATAGATAGGTAGATAATTATGTATTCAGTACTGTTGCCAGAAAATTTCAATTAAATTGTATTATAGAAATTTTCCTATGACATTCATAATACATTTAAAACATATTGCAACCAAAAATAATATTCCATCATTTATACCCTATGGGGCATATGGTTAATTTCTATGTTGTCATTTTTACAAATAATGCCATGGTGAGCATTCAGCCACATGAAATTTTTTTGCAAATCTTTGATTATTTTCTTAATGTAAGATAGAAGAAGTGGAATTCCTGGGTAGAAGCTGAGAAAAATGTGAGAATCTTGCTTTGCATTGCCAAATTGCCCTCTAGAAAAATGGCATCAGTTTACATGTGAAAATACCCAGTTGACTTACTTTGCATTTTGTTGATTTCTAATAAGTTTAAGTGTTTTTTCTTGATTATTACTCATTTTAAGTTTATAAATTGTCCACTCTTATTATTTGCTTATGTTTGTGTTCTTTCTTATTCATAGTGAATTATAGCTTCTTTAAATATATAATATATATCAAATTCTGTGTGTGTGTGTGTGTGGTATAATTTTCATATAAAGTGTATGTTTTCCTTTGTTCACACATGGTTCATCCTGCTCATTTGGCATATCTCATCAAGCATGTGTGGTTATAGATAGTACTTTTTCTTTTGCTTCATGGTTAAAAGAATCTTGCAACAAACTCACTCTCCCAGAACAGGGAAATTCACTCTGATTTTTGCCCTGGATGAATGTTGCAATCTCAGCTTATCTTTTAGCTTCATAGACAGTCTGATTTCAGATATATAAAGAGAGCCCACAATCTCCATGGCACCAAAACCTGTCTGGACATTGCCATCTCATGTTTTCCATCAGTTTACTTAGTTTCATATAGATACTGCATTTATCTTTCTGATATTCTTCATTCATAAATTAGAGACAAAGACATATATCACAGAGCTTTGATTGGGAAAAAGAATCAAGAGCCTTAAAACTCACACATTGTTTGAATGAAACTTACACATTGATCCCTGCCTCTGGAAACTTATTCTGAGAAAATAAACTAAGTATGGAAAGAATTTGATGCCCTGAGATGTAGCTTTCTGTATAACATAAATATTATATATAATATTATAATATTTGGGAATAACCTAAATGTCCCACATTAGGTTATATAAATGTTGATATGTGATATATGACAATGGAATATTATTTATCCATTAGAATAATGATTACAAAAAAATTTTAATAGCATGAGAAAATTTTAAAATACACTTAAAAGCTTTTATGCTAAAAGCAAGATGCAGGATAGGAAATGTAATAAAATACTTAGAAAAATAAAAGAAAAAATATGTACCAAAATGGTCATTGTTATCTTTGGTTGGTGATTTCCGCCCCCTTCCTTCAATTATTCATTTTGTAAATATTGTTTAGTGAAGATTTGAAAAAAATATTTTTCAAACCCAGGTTAAATTATGGAAATGCTGTGGCTCAGGCAGTAGGACTTAGGTCCCATTGGATAACTCAAGTGCAGCTTCTGACTGCACTTGAGGAAAACATTTTAAATCTTCTAGTCCTGGTCCTTAGTGGCTGTTTGCATCTTCATTTTATTTACTAATAGAAAATAATGTTCACTTTTGTATGGCTCTTACCAATGCAAAACATAGGTTACCTGCCATTTTTGATACTCTATTCATTACATAAGATGTAATAATAGTCTAGAAAATCTATGATCAACAAAGATTATAAGCTTTGTAACCTTCCTTTTGAGTATTTCGGGAGGTGGACCCTTATATGTACTGCACACTCCCAATAAAAGTGTAAATCCGTAGAATCATTTGGGATTTAGCAGTATGAACCAAATGCCTTGAAAATACTCATCCTCCTTGACCTACTAATTCTTCTTCTTGGAATGTAGCTCAAGGAAATAATCAGAAATGAGCACAAAGACTTAGGCAAAAAGTCATTAACTCCAGAATTATTTACAATAGCAAAAAACCAAAAGGGGAAATAGATTTAATATCCAGCATAGATGACAATATTTAAATAAATGATGCTATGTAATATACATCTACTGTCAAATATTATGCAGTCATTAAAAATAATATTTATAAAAAGTTTTCATTGGTCTGAGGAAATGCTTCCGGTAGAATATTATGCAATACAAAAGAGTGAATACAAAATTATATATAGATATAATCTGCACTGTGTTTAAGAAAAAAATATGCACAGATAAAAGACTGATGAGAAATATGCCAAGATATCAAGAATGAACTCAGGGAGGTGGGATTATTGAAGATTATTCCTTCCTTCTCTTTTCTGTTTTTCTCCTCTCTGTACTTTCTAAATTTTCCACGATAAGTGTATGCTAATTTTGTAAGAAGAATAAAAAAAGTTTGAAAATACATTACTGTCATGAAATATTCATATAACTGTATCCTTACTAAGTATTGAAAATACAAAATTCGCCTCAGTATTCATTAGATTCTTGCCTCTTTATACATTCCAGTCAAAATTTCACTAGACAATCTTAGATCTATAGTATTTATTAATAATGTACCCAAAGGATCATTTTCTCTGTTAAACGTTTTATGAATTCCTATTCAAAAAGAATACACAAAGTACAATAATCTTTTCGTTTGATTGGTGAGATGCGACTGGTGATAATTTGGGGGATTAGCCAGCTTTTCCTCCCTCTCTGCATGCATTATGCATTACCCAAGAAATTGCCTAGAAACAAGGAATTGCCTTTTCTAAGTATATGGTTTAAACATTGCTTGAACTAAGTATTTGGGTTTCTGGAGTTTAAGTATTGTGTTTAATCTCATGTAAAATGATAAGCAATTTTAATAGCAGAGGTTTTCACTCAGATCCCATACAGTTTTTTGTGTTTTTTTGGCATATTTCGTGGACCTATTCATTCAATGCTGGGCTTAGGAGGCAAGGCACTCACACATTTGACAGACATTAGCTGGGGAAAAACCAAATGTTGGTTCTTGGTGGTATCCAGTTACCTTTAATTTCTTCCATTCTATATTGTGGAATTGCCAGGGAATACCAACCCAACTGAAACAGGAATTCACTGGGACCAGCCCTGCTTTGTGTGTACTCACTTTCCTACCCCACTGAGTAGATAACTATGATAAATAAAGACCCAAACATTTGCTGAACTGTATGAAGGATGGAACAAGGTTGCTCTGAACATCACCATCTCTGATTATCTCATTTCTGGGCAGGACTGGACAGGCAGGATAGCCAGTGTGGGGAAGGATGAAGGGAGGGCTGAAAAGATATCCTTCTCAGTTACTTTATTTCTTCTGCTTTCTCTTTTCTGAAAAAGCACTGGAATTGTTTTCTAGTGACTTTATAATGCTGATACTTATTTTCTTTCTTCGTAGTCCAAACCAGAGCGAGACAATTTTTTAAATGGGCTAATAAATATTTTATGCTGATTCTCTAGGGTATAATAAAAGCATAATTTAACCTATGTAACAAAATCTTCAGAACAAAACAACAACCTGGAATAATTTCCCTTAATGATTTTTGTCAGGGTTAAATAAGTGTGTATATATCAAGTTCTTTGAACAGTGCTGGCATGCATAATTACTAGGACAACACTGGTTGTTATCATTGACTATGCTTGAGTTAGGAATTCTCTATCCCTTGTCTTCAATACACTTAGTGTACCATTTAATTGGTAGTCAATCAGGCAATTTTCTTATCAGACTTCATGCCTTATTATTTAGTGGCTGAGTTATTTTGCTTTTCATGTATTTATGTCTATTCCCTTAAGAAGATTTTAAGGTCTGTAAGAAAGAAATCTACTTTTCTACTACTATTATATATTATTGATTTTGTATACAGTAACAAGAGTACCAACCCCTTGGGTTGTTGATTGGGTTAAATAAGACGATAATATAAATGCTTTTGTCAGTGCCTAGCATATAGTGCTCAGTAAATGTTAACTGGTAATGATATACATATATTTCCTGATTATTTAATAAAGACATGAACCGTGCTCCTGATTGAATTTTTATTAATTTAAACACACCAATGGTTGTACATATTTGCTTTATAAAAACCAGCCTCAATATATTGCTTCCACCAGTACATATATTTTATATTAGACTTGCTCACTCTGAATGAAGCACTCTTGCTTATTTAAGAAAAAAATCAAATGAATGCTAAGTATTAGAAACAAAACCCTGAATAACATGGAGAAACATATTGCTTCTCAACTATTATAATTTTAATTACATTTGTTTCTTTTAATCTCCTTCTAAAATTCATTTTCATTATTTTAACTGATTATTTAGACAATCCTATCCCATGAAATTTTCATTTGAACAAGGTAAATAGGTAAAATTCATTCAGCAGTGTAATAAAACATTTACAATTTTGAGGGTGAAGAACTTATTAAATCGAGAATAACAATTCTTATTAATATTAGCTATTCTTATAAATATTAGTAACAATTAAAAATAACAAATAGTTCCAAGTTTAAAGTCATAGAATTGTGTAGGGAAATTGATTTCTATTACAGTGGGTAATTGTGGTATATGTGCTAAATGAACCAGGTTAAAAAATTGAAATTTAGTCAATCCAGTAACTGGATTTCATATTTGATAATCAACTCATGTAATCCATCACAACAATAGGCACAAAATAAAAAATCACGTGATACAGAATCAATGGATACAGCAAAAGCATTTGACAAACACCAACACCCATTTGTGATAAAAACTCAGTTAATTAGGAATAGAGGGGAACTTGCCCAACATCATAAAGAGTAACCACAAAATATCTACAGTAACATCATACTTAATGGTGAAAAACTAGAAACATTCCTGCTAAGATCAGAAACAAGGCAAGGATGTCCACTCTCACAACTGCTTTTGAACATTGCCCTGGAAGCTTTAGCTAATACCATCAGACAAATAATGGAGATAGAAGGTATACAGATTGGGAAGGAAGAAATAAAACTGTCTATGTTCACTGAGGACATGACCATCTATGTAGAAAATCTGAAAGAATTGACCAGAAAAACCTCCTGGAATTAATAAGTAATTATACCAAGGTTGTAGGACACAAGGTTAATGTACAAAAGTCAATTGCTTTTCTATATACTAGTGATGAGCAAGATAAATTTTCCATTAATAACATATTACTATTTATATTATCACCGCCCAAAATAAAATACTTGGGTATAAATCTAAGAAAATATGTATAAGATCTATATGAGAAAAGCTATAAAATTTTACTGAAAGACATCAAAGGAGAACTAAATAAATGGAGAGATGTTCCATATAAATATATAGGAAGACCCAATATTGTTAAAAGGTCAATTCTTCCCAACTTGATCTATAGATTCAATGCAATCCCAAATCAGAATCCCAGCAAGTTATTTTGTGGATACTGACAAACTGGTTCTGAAGTTTATATGGAAAGGCAAATGACTCAGAATAGCCAACATAATATTGAAGAAGAACAAAGTTGTAGGACTGACACCACCTGACTTTAAGACTTATAAAGCTACAGTAATCAAGACGATGTGGTACTGATGAAAGAAGAGACAAATAGATCAATGGAACAGAATAGAATGCCCAGAAATAGACCCACATGAATATAATTAATTGATTTTTGACAAAAGAACAAAGATGACACTGTAGAGCAAATTTGAGTTTTCAACAAATGGTACAGGAACAACTGGACATCCACATGCCAAAAAAAAAAAAAAGTGAATCTAGACACAGATCTTGTACCCTTCATAGAAATTAACTCAAATTAGATTATAGACCTAAATGTAAAATGCAAAACTAAAAAACTCCTAGAAGATAATATAGGAGAAAACCTAGATGACCTTGGATATGGCAATGACTTTTTAAATACAACACCACAAACACAATCAATGAAAGAAATAATTAATAGCTTGGATTTCATTAAAATTAAAAACCTCTTGCTCTGCAAGAGACGATGTCAAGAGGATGAGAAGACAAGCCAAAAACTGGGAGAAAATATTTGCGAAAGATACATCTGATGAAGGACTGTTGTTTAAAATAAACAAAGAACTCTTAAAATTCAATAATAAGAAAATGAACAACTTGAGTTCAAAAATGGGCAAACCGCCAGAACATACATCTCACCAACAAAGACATACCAATGTCAAATATGCCTGCAAAAAATATTCAACATCATATGTTATTAGGAAACTGCAAGTGAAAACAATGAGACACCACTACACACTATTAGAATGGCCCAAAATCAGAACAGTGACAACACCAAATGCGGGTAAGGAAGTGGAGCAACAGGAACTCTCATACATTGCTGGTGGGAATACAGAATGGTCCAGCCACTTTGGAAGGCAGTTTCTTGGAAGGTAGTTTCTTACAAAACCAAACATACTCTTACTACATGATCCAGTAATCAGGTTTCTTGGCATCTACCCAGATGAACTGGCAACTTATGCCCACACAAAGCCCTGCACAAAGATGTTTATAGTATCTTTATTTATAATTGCCAATTAAACAATTAAGAAAGATGCCCTTTAGTAAGTGAATGGATAAATAAACTGTGGTGCTTCCAGATAATGAAATATTATACAACTCTAAAAAGAAATGAGCTATTAAGCCATGAAAAGACATGGAGAGAAGTTAAATGCATGTTACTAAGGAAAGAAGCCAATCTGAAAGGCTACACACTGTGTGATTCCAGGTACATGACATTCTGGGAAGGGCAAAACAATGGAGACAATAAAAATATCAGTGGTTGCCAGTGGTTGGGGAGGGCAGGGATGAACAGGCAGCGCACAGAGGATTTTTAGGACAGTGAGACTGTGCTCTATGATACTACAATGGTAGATGCATATCATCATACATTTGTTTAAACCCATAGAATGTGCAACACGAAGAGTGAACTCTAATGTAAACTATGAACTTTGGGAAATAAAAATGTGTCTGTCAATGTAGGTTCATTGAATCTAACAAATGTTCCATTGTGGTGTGGGATTATTAATAGCGGAAGAGGATGTGTGTAGGGGGAACATTATATATATATATATATATACACACATATATATATGGTATATATAGGGATCCAAAAGGATCCCCTCAAATCAGCCTGACCTGAAACTGCTGGCATGATTGGGTACCACATGGAAGTCTAGAGGTATGTGGCCATTTGAAGGATATGATGTTTCTGAAGTGTTATCAGTGGATTATTGAATCTACTAATGCTCAATAACCTATTTGTCAAGTTCAATAGGTGTTCAAAGATTGGGTGGCACAGTCGATCTTTACAGAAAATGGGAGGGGGTCAGCACAGTTCATTGGTTTAGTCTTGTAGTTTGTTTAGCACACAGTTGTAATGTAGAGCGAATAGTCCAGAGTTCAGTATCTTAATGAGAGAAGCAGTTATCTTAATTAGAGGCAAGCAAACAATTTTCTTATTGATATCCACAGTCCTCCCTGGCTGTTTCAGATCTATCAGTGAATGATTCAGATAAGTGAGAAGTACACAGGAGTGGTGACACAGCATTTCCTCAGAATGACCTATGAGATCCGGTCCATGTATTATTTGAAGGTGAGTGAAAAGGCTGGAAATTACCTTAATTACTTAGTTCATTGCCCTCTTACCACTTATTGTGGACATGTTAATTTACAAAGCACATTCCCAATTTTGAGAGTTATCTAGAACTACAAAAAAATCTATTGGCTCTGAAATTGAATTTACCCAGGAGTTGAGTGAATGATTGGCTAATATGTTAAGGATGGGGCACCTACCTACCTGATTTTGGATAGGCTGTCAAATTCAGAGCTGAGTCAGCCAAAAAAGATATCTAGATATCCTCTGCCTGGGGCATATTTTAACGAGTAGAATTGGTATATAATAAGGAAGCAATAAAGAAAAATATATAATCAAACACATGTACTCATAAAAAGGGTAATTGTAAGAGGGAATGAAGATAAAAGGTGGTTTAGGAAATATGCTGGCTGGATTAGGAAAATGGGTGAGGCTCTAGGGAAAAAGCCCCTTGAATATGATGGATCCAGTCTTGTCTTTATCCCAATTTGTAAATTTCTCACTGATAAGGATGTAGAGCCTTCATCAGCCCAGCTCCCAGTGGCTTTCAATGAACAGCTCGAGTCTAGGCCATTTACATTCAAAACAGACATGACTGTGACAAACTTGAGAGGGTTCACGACCTCTTCTCCATCAAAGAGAATCCACACTTGCCAGGTTAATTCCTACCTGGCCCACCCCTCTGAAAGAGGAGGGGATCTTTCTTGCTGGAGTGAGGCTAAACTGAGGCACAAGAATGGCACAGGGAGAAAGGAAAGAAGACTGGGTTGACCAGAAGTGGATAGTGGTGGGTGTCTTTCCCATCATCCCTGCCTCATGCTTGGAATCACAGAGTGGAGGAAGAAAGGGACCTGATAACTTTGCACAGCAGCTTATGATTATAAGCAATTGTTCGGTAATAGAGCACGGATGTCCCCTCCAGATCAGCCAACCATCCAATAACCCCAAGAAGATCATCTGGATGGACTGTGGAATTCATGCCAGGGAATGGATTGCCCCAGCTTCTTGTCAATGGTTTGTGAAAGAAGTAAGTGTCTTTAGCTTTCTTATAATGGTTAATTGCCCAACAAAATACCTGTCACATCTTAGCTATTTAGAAAGCTTGCTTCTTTCTCAGGTAGGCAATGCAGCTCCCTACTGAGTTACTCCTTCACCCCAAGGGAAATGGAATTTATAAGTAGCTTCACTGAAAACTGAGTTAGGTATTATGATCTCCACAATAATTTGTACTGGAAGGTAAACCACATATCTAAGCGAAAAAGACAATACATTGTGGAAGTCAGAGATGGGTAAAGCCTGGTGCTGCCTTTTTCAGAGAGTCTTGAGCAAATTTTCTAACACCAGGACCGACCCCTAGTTTTTCACCTGCAGAAGGAGCTTGGAATGGCCTCTTTAGGGGATCTATAGTGCAGATGAAGAGATTTAGCATGTGGAAAATACCTAGCTTCAGTGAATTTTTACGTATTAGCTATACCCTATAAAATAATTTTTGTGTCAGTCTTTTCAGAAACCAGAACAGAAAGAAGCCCACAAGAAGCAGTTCTCCAAGTGTGGTTCCTAGACCAATAGCATCAACATAACTGGGAACTTGTGAGAAATGCAAATTCTGGGGCTTTACCTCACCACCTTAGACCTAGTGAATTAAGGGAAGAGGGTGGGATGGGGGAGGAAAGCCAGGCAGTCGTAGTTTAACAAGCCTTCCAGGTGATTCTGATGGAAAATAAAGCTTGAGAATCACTACCATAACAAATAGGACAACTGAAGCAGGGTTGGAGGGCAAGAGAGTAGAAGTTCCATGTGCAATCACCTCTTATAATTATGTTGAAATTGTTAGAAAATTGAAAAAAGACCTCTTCCCGGGAGCATTTCAAATGTTTCTCTCTTAAATTTTCAGATTCTACAAAACTATAAAGATAACCCAAGGATAGGAAGGTTCCTTAGAAACCTGGACGTCTACGTGCTTCCCGTTCTTAATGTAGATGGTTATATCTATACTTGGACAACTGAGTACATCGAGTGTGGTTCTGGGATGAATCCGTGAACTAGATCTTGACTCCGGTTCATTTTTCTGACCTTAGTCATTGTAGTGACAGAAATGTTTTGGGGCCATGTAAAGGAAGAAACCCCATTTGGGATAAAAATCAACTCAGTATTGTTAAGCCAACAATCTACATCAAGTTTAGGATGGAGAAAGTGGGGGCCTTGTTAGAGTTGAAATCCAGCACATGTTTTTATGCTTGTTTGTTTCTTTGTTTTTTGACATATTCCCAGTTTTTAAGCCAGATTTAACTTTTCTCCAAGTCCACCTCCTTCCAGTTTGTGGACTGCCTGTCAGATTGGTATAAAGTTCATATACTACCTTGTAACCATCCAGTTTTGAAGCATGAGGGGCACAAATGATGTATAAATTCTAACCCAACTTTCATTTTCCACTGTGATCATTCACACAGGGGGCAAACATCTCATAAAGTTTTTAGTTAAGGGAAAACTTCCTCTTGGGGCAACTGGGTGGCTCAGTGGGTTAAGCATCTGCCTTCAGCCCAGGTCATGATCCCAGGGTCCTGGGATCAAGTCCCGCACATCAGGCTCCCTGCTCAGCAGGTTGCCTATTCCTCCCTCTCCCTCTGTACCTCCCCCACTCTTGTTCGCGTGCCTTGTTTGCATGCTCTCTCTCTCAAATAAATAAACAAACAAACAAATCTTAAAGAAAAAAAAAGAAAACTTCCTCTTTAAAATGTTTCAAAAGCAGATCACTCCACAAACAAGAACCCGTTCCTAGAGAATATCCGTTCCTCCCTTTTCCCCTTTGCTCCCCCAAAAGCGGTTCCTGGGACCCCTTTTCCTGCAGCAGCCTTTCAGCCTGGGTGTAAATCAAATTCTTCCCTCCAAGCTTGTCTGGAGAAACTTGTCTTTATGCTCATCTCCACTCATCAGTCTTCTGCTTCCAGAAATGTGCAGAGACCATCACTGATACACCTGGAACAGCCTTTTTCCATCTGCCAAGCTATTTACCTTTCATCCTGTATCACTTGGACATAAAATATGACTCTCTGAAGCTTTCCCTGATTAAGCAGATCACGTCCACCAGGCACTGCTAATCTGCTCATGAGGAAAAAGCCATACTCCCTCCAATTTGATGGTGTACATGTAGGTACGCTTGGGTTGGACAGATGTTCCTGTTATTGGGTGTTGCTGGCCCATCTGTGAGACTAAAAATTATAGGCACAAGCTTTGTTATGTTAAAGGCAAGTTTTCCCAGACAATCCTAGGGACTATTTTTTATGTTCCAGGGCCACCCACTCATCCCCAACACTGTGATTTATGAGACCCTAGAACAGCAGCTTTTCTATGTTCCTCTGTTACAGGATCGGCTTTGGAGGAAATCCCATTCATACCATAATAATGGCACATGTTTTGGGACAGATCTCAATCAAAATTTCAATGTGGCCTGGTGTAGTAAGTACATGTTTAGTTGATGACTTGATGAGCAAAGAATGGAAAAGAGAAGCTAGGATGGAGGTGAATTACTAGAGATAAAACTTTCAAAAATAAACATCTAATTTTGCACAGTTCCCTGGACTTCTTGACCAGTGTTTTCACCCTAAGGGATGACATTATCTATGTAGGAAGAACCAGCAGCACTCCAGTGCAGGACTCTTTTCAAGTGGGATTGGCTAAATGAGGGCAAAGAAGACCTAGATCAAAGTGAATATGTTTGAAATCTATCACTTTATTTTTAAATATATGAATTTTCATAAAGAAAAGAAAAAGTCAGAGAATTATCCTTGCAGATTATTTTTATAACGGGAAGGCAGAGTAAATAAGGCAAACATTTCCTTCTCCTTAAGGCATGTTCATGTTTCTGAATTTCAACACGTCCAGTGAATCAGAAGCAAATAAGGAGGTAGAAATGGTTAAGAGCAATCTGGTTAAAAACCAGATGGCAAGGGTTAAAATTCAGACTCGGCTGCTGTGTGGTCTTGGAAAAATCTCTTCATCTTTCTGCTTTAGGTTTCTCTTATTTAAAATGTGGGCCGTAGTCCTACCATCCAATCAGTAGGTAGTTGTGGGGATTTGATGAGTTGCCACAGAGGAGGGGCTGACCACCATGCCCAGTGGGTACAAGGTGCTCAGCTGCTGGTCCTTATTATCATCACTGAGGAGAACAGACTATGGTGTCCTTGCAAAATAGCTCTACTGAGATGGAAACCAGTAAGACAGTGAGGGAGACAGCCTGACCTAGGAACCCAAGAATTGGTTCCCAAACATCTATTTCAGGGCCCACCACAGGTTTAAGTAAAAGATGACTGAAAATGCCATTTCGTTTTGCGTCTTCCTTTGTGGGCCATGGAAGCACGGAGGTTGTCTCCAAATCTGAATGTCAGCCCTCCTGCCTTTCTGAGTTCCTCCTTGAATGACTACCCTCGCTCACTGATTTAACCTGAACTAACTTAGACAAGCCAGGGCAAGCCCCGATTCCACCCATAGGTTGCCCTGAGCAAGGGGGACTCCTTGCCCTCAGTCCATTCTAAACTGGTATCATGTTGACTTCTTCATGGTTTTCTGTATATTCCAGGTACTGGTGCCTCTAAAGCTGTCACGATTTAACATTCTGTGGGACAGGACCAGCCTCGGAGCCAGAGACTAAGGCTGTTTCCAGCTTTGTAGAGAGCAAGAAGGAAAGCATTGTGTGCTTCCTGACCATGCACTCTTAGGGGCAGCTCATTCTCACGCCTTATGGCTACACTAAAAATAAGTCCAGTAACCATGAGGAACTGGTAAGACCATAGCACCAGAGTCTTTACAAAAGCCCCCGTGGGACCCTGGCTTTCCTTTCTCTGGTTTCCATTTTCAAGATTTTGGCTCCAGCCCTGCTTTTGTTCTCTCTGCTCTTCCTTATTTTTTTTTCTTCTGCTTTTTACACCTTGCCAGACGCCTGCTGGGAAGGCTTCAGGTTAAATGCCGCTTTACCTACATTAATTAACTACCTGTTTCGTAAAGTGTCAAGTTGGGAGACATCTTAGGTATTCGTCTATAATATAAATGAGACGATTATGTTAATAATCTGCAGGAATGTGCTTTCATTTCTGTAAATTCTCTTGAAGCTCCGTTCAGCAATTATAGCTTTTGAACCGTGCTTTAAAGAACTTGCCAGCAGTTAGTGGAATATGGCATATCTAAAATAACATGGCTAAATAATATCTGCTCTCTTCTCTGCTAAACGCAAGGCTTTATTTTCTTCTATACTCCGCTTCTAGTATTTGCTTAGGGATATGTGTAAGGAGAAGTGCCAGTGAAGTCCAAGCCGGTGCCGGGAAGGTGCCCTTTGCTACATCCGGGTCCTCTGAAGCTGTGCTTACCCAAGCACCAGGCACAACTGCTGAGTAGGACCGCTCTCTTTGCCCTTTCGTGCACCTGAGGACAGCGGACACAAATCAAAGGGAGGGCAAATTTAGAATTGTTGTAATATTTGTTATCTTAAAAAAAAAACACATTATTTTTTTCTACGTTTAGTCACGGCAAAATTCGCAAAACCTAAAATTTACCGTCTTCACCATTTTTAAGTGGACAGTTCAGTAGTGTTACGTATGTTCACATTATTGTGCAACTGATCTCCAAAACTCTTTCGTCTTGCACAGTGGGCAATCTGTACCCATTAAAAACAACTCCCGGTCCCCGTTGCTTCTGTAGACCACCCTTCTACTTTCATTTTCTGTGAGTTTGACTGCTCTGGATGCCTCGTACAAGTGGAATCACACAGTATCTGTCTTTTTGTGACCAGCTTATTTCATTTAGCATAATGTCCTCAAGGTTTATCTATGTTGTATCATGTGTCAGAATTTCCTTCCTTTTTATGGCTTAATAATATACCGTCATATGTATGTATCACATTTTCTTTATCCATTCATCTGTCAGTGCGTTTTTGAATTGTGCCCACCTTTGGGCTACTGCAGATAATGCTTCTAAGAACATAGATATACAAAGATCTCTTTGAGATCCCACTTTCAACTTTGGGGGTATATAACCAGAAGTAGAGTTGAAGAATCATATGACAGTTCTGTTTTTAATTTCTGGAGGAACAATCATACTGTTTTCCATAGTGGCTGCTCCATTTTCTATTCCGACTAACAGTGCACAAGGGTTCCAATTTCCCCGACATACTCATCAACACTTGTTAGTCTCTGCTCATCTTTTTTATTTTTTAGAACAAACCCCTCATTATCAACAAATGCTGGGATGGATGGAGGCTAAGCTCAGTCTGGTCTTGAGGTCACAGAGGCTTGGGAACCCAATGGTTCTCTTACCTGTCCTGGCCCTCTCCCACTGGAGCATGACCCAGAGAACACATGTCTGGGCATAAAAAGAAAAACCATTACCGATCTTTGCCGAAGGAAGCTCTTCCCCCCAACAACCAAGAATATCCAGTAGTACTTTGATATCTTTCTCACAGTGTTTTTGGACATTTGTACTGTGTGATCATTTTGCAGGATGTGGCAATAACTAACATTTGCTTAGCACTTTGCAATTTACAAAGGGATTTTAGGACCATTATCTCATCTGACCCGATGACAATATAATAAGCTCACTTTGAAGATGTGGAAATTGAGACCTTGAGTTAACAATAGACAGTGATTGGTAGAACCCAGGTTAGAACTCATGTCTTCAGACTCCAGAGGCTACATTCATTCAGCCTCCTCATACTGCCTCTCTGCTCAGAAAGGGCATGCGACTTCTAGGAGCTCCTTTTAACTTTGATGACCAGATCACTGTGTCCTATTTTCTCCTATTCCTGAGCTCTAGAAATTTCATTTCTTCAGTAAAGGAAACTGCAGAAACAGAGATTTCAGTTGAGAAGCCCAGTACTTGTTTTATCTCCCAGTTCCTGTGGTATTTGTTGTAGATGTCTCCTTTCTGCTCAAAGGGATCTGTGACAAACACGTATGAACCACCAAAGGCAGGCCGCTATAGATCTTTAATGGAATAGGCCCTCCACCAGCAGAAAAAAGCAGACTGTAACCCCTGGTTTTGTTTTTGTTTTTGTTTTTTTTTTTTAGGGAATTCTGTTCCCTTCTTGGCTCAGGAAAACAGATACTATATGACCATTTTGCAAAGTTTGTATTCAAAGGTGAGAGGGTCTTGTGCTGTTGGTTCTCTGGTTAGAGCCCTCTGGCCACAGACTAGAGGAGGCAAACTGGCAGGAGAGACCTATGGCACTGACATCGCCATGGCTGGAAGTTTAGGGTTGGGTGGGAATTACCGAGAACGCTTTAGTACCATATGCAGAAATGGGCACATCAAATTGAGAAAGGGCACTTCCATTCTGTATCTCTTACAGTCTCAGGTGCTGAAGAGTTAGCATAAACATTCATCTCTAAGACTTGTCAGTAAAAAGACAATGTGAAAATTTTGCCACCTGTGTCAACCTCATTGAAGCTAGCTAGCAGTGGTTTTAGGTTCTTATGAGTAAGCTTTGTTTGATAGAGTGCACAAAGACACAGAATCAAGCCAACTGTTGAAGGAGATCTCCATTTTTGGTACTATTTACAACTACCAGAGACTAGTAATTAATCTCTATATATTTACAAAACCAAAAATTTGTAGAAATCATGATAAATATTATACTGCATGATAGACAACTTGGCAATCACTATGTAGGGGAAACATAACTATATATAGCCATGTTCTAAATTGCTCTGGAAATTAGAATAGCTATAAAAATTCTAATGTTTTAAATGCTGACATTCTTTCCATTTGAACTCTTCCCATATCAACTTCTAGCTCTCATCCCAAGCTCCTTCCTCCCACACACATGCCAGGGCCTTCATCAACCTTTTTGTGTGCCTCCCTGTGAATATATGCCTATAGGAAACTCTCTGGGAGTTATTAAGGAGGCTTGAGGTCTTTAGAAATGTAAATTATGTACTACTGGCAAAGGGATTTTTACTGTTTTGACTAACGTTCCTTTGGGCTGAGAAGAAGGTCAGCAGAGAAATTGGCTCCCCATGGCCGTGTGGTATATTGTCAAAAGGAGAGGGAAGAATAATCAGGAGGTCCACCCTTAAGGATAGAAGTCAGAGTCTTCAGATTTTATTTCCTCGTCTTGGAAAGAACCAAGTCTACAAGCTAGGGTCACAACTGTATACTTCTCATAAACCTTATACTTCCTACTCCTATCGACCTCTCCATAGTAAGAAGAAGAAAGTAGGAAGACTGTTCCCAACCCACAGGATGTGAGGGAAAGGAATTATATAGGATAAAATAAGTAAAGGTTGGCAATCAGAAAAAAGAAATGGTTGTCTGGGGTGAACTGCAGACAAGAAAAAAATGCAAGAGTCATTTGGAAGGAAAATGTAGCCTGGAGCTGATGCATATAACCCAAATAAAAGTTAAGGTCCCACGTGGACCAGTTAGCATGGAGTTTCATTCAGAGAAATGCAGAAACATATGGGAATTAAAAATAATTAAAGGCAATTCATGTCTCTACCAGACTTTGAAAGAACTTCAAAAGGGAGTGTAGCTGGTAAATCATAGCAACTCTTTCCCCCTCCCCACCTCATGCTCTTCATTTCACTCACAGATAGCAATTACCCTGATCCTTTCTCTTCACCCGTCATTTTTATTTCCTTAGCAGAATTTATCTCTCCAGAAATCTTTATTCTGACTCTCTTCCCCTTCTTATTTTCTCTTCTATCTACAAAAACAGCTCTTGTACCTCTTTGCAGTGTAAATGATTCAAACCAGCTTTATTTCATGCACTTCTCAAGCCCTTCTTACCAATCATGTCATTCTGGTCAATGAGCCCAGGAACTAAGCCGGACTTAGAATCCTTTTTTTAGGAAGAGAGAGGTGACTGGCCCAAGACAGAATTCTCAGTAGTGAGTAAAGAGGAGGCAAAGCTCTTGAAAATATGTTCAGCTGAATGTCTTTTTCTTTTACCTTTGCCACACACAGGAAGTCCCAAGTGCCCTGAGAATGCTGCTCACAGCTGCTGTATATGACCTACCACCACTTACTCCCTTTTCTACTCTTCCTTTTGAACTTCACCATGCCTATCCCTTCTCTACCCAAGCACCGCTCTGTCATACCCCAGGATTCAGCTGGACAATGAAGGACAATGCAGAACAATGCAGGACCAAGAAGGTTTAAAGTTAGACTCATCGCTAGTCAGAAGTCAGAGGAGCTGATGCACCTGCAAAAGCAGTCAGGCTGCCCTAAGGGGTAAAGAAAGCAAAGGTGGATCACAGTCCAGACAGGGAGTGGTCAAGGGGATTTTGGTGGTGTTTGTGTGAAATCTAAGGGGAGATATTAGGGAGTCTGGGCTGGGGAAAACTTAGAGAAGACTATTGAAAGATTGTTGAAGAAATTTATCAGAAGGTTAATAAACACAGCCAATACACTTGGATCTCTCAGTGTTAGTGGCTCTGATCTCAGGAAAAGGTTTGCAGAGAGCAAGGCTAAGACATTAGAAATCATTCAGTTCTGAGAGATTTCCACTGTAGTCAGGTGACATGGTGGTAGGTGTGGGGAGGGGTGTAGCTTCTAGCTCTGAAATTCTATAAGCCTATAAGAGATAAGTATCAAATACCTATAAGGAAAAATAAGAAGGGAATTATAAGAGAAGTATGAACAAAGGGCCACGTGGAGGGGGAAGTCGGGAGAGAGAGGATTTAGTTGGGGTGATGAGGAAAGATCCCATGGAAGAGTCAGCATTTGAAGTCTTTTGAGGTTGGGTAGAATTTCAACAGGCAGAGAAAAGAGGTAAGGCATGCCAGGTGGACGGAATATCCAGAGAAAAGGTAAAGAGTCTGAAGAAATGGGCATGTCTGGGGAACAGTGGGAAAACTTGAGAGTGACTATCATCTAAGGTAGGATGTAAAGAATATGGTGTGGGAAAGGTGGGCTAGGGCCACATCGTAAAGGATCTCAAATGTGAAACTGAGAAGCTTATGATTAATTCGGTGGGCAATTAAGAATAAGGCTTTTCAGCAGGATCATGATCATAGTTCTATTCTACCGAAGTTCACCTGGAATCCAAAGGAGATCGACTGAGATAAGAATTGGTGAGAGGAAGAGAAACTTACTAGAAGATGACAATAATCCATTTCAGAGGTAATGAGACTAAAATAGGGTGATGGTGCTGGAAATGCAACTTGGTGACCATTTGAAAGAAGGAGAGTCAAAGGTGACTGCAGGATTTTACATGTGTTTGGGGGAGCAGATCAGTCAGAAATATGGAAACCAGAACAGCTTTATTAGTGGGGGAATGATGAAATTGGGTGTGAGTGTGTTGAGTCTGAAGTACCAGAAGGCTACCTAGGTATAGAGGTCCAATGGGAAGTTAGAAAGATGGTCTGGAACTCTGGAGATGGATTTGGACAAAATCCCCAACCCTCTGGATTGTTGGATTTATTTTTAACACCAGATATCTGTCTCTGCATTTCCCACCTACAGATCCAAGTTGGACAGAAGGCAGCAAATGCATTGAAAAAAAAGCATGGAACCAATTATAGAGTTGGATCGAGTGCAGATATTTTATGTAAGTAGCTTTTTTTTGCCTCTTCAATAGTATCTAAGGCACAAAAGAAGCCAGTGGACTTTGGGGAGTGGGGTAGGCAGGAGAGGGATGGAAGAGCTCCTGGGTTCAACAGGAAGTTGTACAAATCAAAATGACCAAGGATAAAAGGGAGTCTGTACAAATATAGAATTATGCTCTCTAGGGATAAGGTGTGAGCTAAAAGAAAAAAAAAATTAATACACTGGCTCAGACCAGAACTCCCTCTGGCTTCAGTTAAAAAGAGCTGGCAAGTGAGAAGGTACAGGAGTTAACAGGAAGGACGTTTTCCCGTGATCCTTGGTCAGTTGATTCAGTTCTCAGAGGACCTATCAGTCTGAGAAAGCAAAGCAGGTGGGGCCTGGAGAAAGGATCCAACACAGAAAAGAATTTAGTTAAAAGGACAGTGCACAGCTTTTCCCCATCCCCAGCCACCACCTCCTCCACCCGCCTGAGGACCACCTGGATAATATTTGCATAATATTTTCCTTGTTGCTCATTTTATTTCTGTTCCTTTATATGTCAGTTCACTTGCCTTGTAATAATAGGTTGTCTAGTCTTTGATTCAGCGGAGAAACTTTACCCAAACTTCTGCTATATGCCAAGCATAATGCTAGGTATTCTGGGAGGTGGCGAGGGGAGACGGGCTAAATGAGACGTACTTCCAGCCCTACAGGGCATCATATCAATGAGAGGGAGAATCCTTAATATGAAAAAGTTCACTCATGTTGCTGCATTGAACTTTTATTCCCTGAAATAGCCATAGAAACCTGTCCTTTCGCAGTATAATTTCTACCTCTGCCTTCATGCTTTTGTTTGTAGATACCACATCAGGGTCTTCAAGAGACTGGGCTCGGGACATTGGGATTCCCTTCTCATACACGTTTGAGCTGTGGGAAAATGGTACATATGGATTTGTTCTGCCAGCTGCGCAGATTCAGGCCACCTGTGAGGAGACCATGGAGGCTGTGCTCTCGGTCCTGGATGATGTCTGTGAGAAATACTGGGACTCAGAAGGTGCTGGAAAGGTGACACCTACTGCTGTGGTGCTGGGCCTGCTGGTCTCCTTCATGTCTGTTCTCTGAGTCTATCCTACCCAGGTCTGCTCAGCCCCAGTCATGAGAATGTGGCTGCAGGGAAGGTGTTTGTCTGAAAAAAGAGGAATCAAATAATTTAAAGATACTTTCCACTTCAATAAAGAGGAATCATGTTTGTATTTTCAGGTGTGTTTTGCTGATAATCAATTGTTATTACTTTAAAAGAGTATACTATTAGTTATTGCTGCAACAATGCCACACTGAACCACTCTAACGTTCAGTGACTCATGAATCTATAGGTCAGCTGGGAAGTTCTGCTGATCTTGGCCATGCACATTTATGCATCTGTGGTCAGTTTCAGGGCAGCTACCCTGGGGCCTAGAGATGTTTTTTTCTCATCTACATATTTTGAAAAATTTGCTCATTATTTTGGAACCAGGTTCATGTTTAATTTTGTATTATTGAATTAGTAGCAGCATTCAGAAGATATTACATAATCTTTTTATATAGTCATTGCTGGCTTTATTTAATATTGTATTTATTTATTTATTCGTAAATCCTTTTTCAGAATCTGCTAGGTATATTTTGCTAATCTCTGGGGTTACAGTGGTGAATAAGATAGACATGGCCCCTGTCCTCTTGGAATTTCTATTCCAGTGGGTGAGATTGGGGATGGTAGCTATAAATAATTAGAACGGACACACTGTTGCTTAAAGGGCCACTCTGGCTCAGGGGAGCCATAATAATCAAGAACACAAATAAATAAACTGAATATTGCAGCTTGTAACGGGTGCTATGAGAGAAATAAAGAGTAAGTAGAGAGGTAAGCAAGGGCCAGATTGTACATATACAAGAATATAGGCATTTAATTATGCTATCTTGTCTATTAAACTGCAAGTGCTCTTAAGGTAGTGTCTATGACTGTCATTTCCTATGTATCTCTATGTGACACCTTGAAATGGTGCTAAGCACTTGTCAGGCTTTGAACAAATGTTGTAGCTGTAACCAGCTGACAGAGCATCCTTGGGTGTTCAGTCACCCATTTCTAAATTTCCTTGTTGGTCACAGTCACAATATACTTCTTGGTTGTAACCCTTTTATTGCCTTTCTTTGTCCTCTTTATTTCTTCCTGTTTTGCCAGTGTGTGGCTGATAAGGGTCAGAAAGAAAAAAAATGTCAGGGGCAATAGGGCTTAATGAATCAGAGAACAGCTGTTTACATAAAAATGCCAACTCCACAATTGTGGCATTGTCAGGAGGAAATGGTAGAGTCTCAACAGTAGTCAGCCTCAGAGGGAAGAAAAAGAGTGTGACCACCAATGCACTATTCAAGAAAAAAGTGAGGGAGCTGTGCCTTGGAACATGGATTATCAGCTTTCATCTAGCCTGTGTTTTAGTTTCTATGACTGTCTTTTAACAATTTGGATCTCTAAGTATTATGTGAACTCAGACCTACAAAGCTTAATTTATGTCTAAAGATTGAGCCTATGGGCAAATAAAATTGGAAGGGAACAGATGGAGATGCAAGCTATTAGCTTGCCTGAAACTTCTTACATGGATTCTTCCAAGAGTCTAGGACACAATCATAGGTTTCTTGGGGGGCTTCACATGGTTCTGAGGCCATGGGGGGATCTGAGGTCCAGGACATGTTTTTTACTTCTTCTGAAAGATTTTTACTTCCTGTGACAAGATCCTTTTTCTTTTTAATTTAATTTTATTATTATGTTAATCACCATACATTATATCATTAGTTTTGGATGTAGTGTTCCATGATTCACTGTTTGCATATAACACCCAGTGCTCCACGCAGAATGTGCCCTCTTTAATACCCATCACCAGGCTAACCCATCCCCCACTCCCTCCCCTCTAGAACCCTCAGTTTGTTTCTCAGAGTCCATAGTCTCTCATGGTTTGTCTCCCTCTCTGATTCCCCCCCTTTCATTTTTCCCTTCCTACTATCTTCTCTCTCTCTCTCTCTTTTTAACATATAATTTATTATTTGTTTCAGAGGTACAGGTCTGTGATTCATCACTCTTACAAAATTCACAGCGCTCACCATAGCACATACCCTCCCCAATGTCTATCACCCAGCCACCCCATCCCTCCCACCCCCCACCACTCCAGCAACCCTCAGTTTGTTTCCTGAGATTAAGAATTCCTCATATCAGTGAGATCATATGATACATGTCTTTCTCTGATTGACTTATTTTGCTTAGCATAATACCCTCCAGTTCCATCCACGTCATTGCAAATGGCAAGATTTCGTTTTTCTGATGGCTGCGTAATATTCCATTATATATATACCGCACCTTTTTTTTTTTAATAATCTCATGTTTTGCCATGTTTATTTCTTTTTTCTTAATTTTTTCACTGTTATGTTAATCACCATACATTACATCATTAGTTTTTGATGTAGCGTTCCATGATTCATTGTTTGGGCATAACACCCAGTGCTCCATGCAGAATGTGCCTTCTTTAATACCCATCACCAGGCTAACCCATCCCCCACCCCCCTCCCCTCTAGAACCCTCAGTTTGTTTTTCAGAGTCCGTCGTCTGTCATGGTTCGTCTCCCCCTCCGATTTACTCCCCTTTATTCTTCCCCTCCTGCTATCTTCTTCTTCTTTTTTTTTTCTTAACATATATTGCATTATTTGTTTCAGAGGTACAGATCTGTGATTCAACAGGCTTGCACAATTCACAGCGCTCACCATAGCACATACCCTCCCCAATGTCTATCACCCAGCCACCCCCTCCCTCCCACCCCCCCACCACTCCAGCAACACTCAGTTTGTTTCCTGAGATTAAGAATTCTTAATATCAGTGAGGTCATATGATACATGTCTTTCTCTGATTGACTTATTTCACTCAGCATAACACCCTCCAGTTCCAACCACGTCGTTGCAAATGGCAAGATCTCATTCCTTTTGATGGCTGCATAATATTCCATTGTGTATATATACCACTTCTTCTTTATCCATTCATCTGTCGATGGACATCTTGGCTCTTTCCACAGTTTGGCTATTGTGGACATTGCTGCTATAAACATTGGGGTGCACGTACCCCTTCGGATCACTACATTTGTATCTTTGGGGTAAATACCCAGTAGTGCAATTGCTGGGTCATATAGTAGCTCTATTTTCAACTTTTTGAGCAACCGCCATACTGTTTTCCAGAGTGGCTGCACCAGCTTGCATTCCCACCAACAGTGTAGGAGGGTTCCCCTTTCTCCGCATCTTCGCCAACGTCTGTCATTTCCTGACTTGTTCATTTTAGCAAACATTCTGACTGGTGTGGGGTGGTATCTCATTGAGGTTTTGATTTGGATTTCCCTGATGCTGAGCGATGTTGAGCACTTTTTCATGTGTCTGTTGGCCATTTGGATGTCTTCTTTGGAAAAATGTCTGTTCATGTCTTCTGCCCATTTCTTGATTGGATCATTTGTTCTTTGGGTGTTGAGTTTGATAAGTTCTTTATAGATTTTGGATACTAGCCCTTTATCTGATATGTCATTTGCAAATATTTTCTCCCATTCTGTCAGTTGTCTTTTGGTTTTGTGGACTGTTTCTTTTGCTGTGCAAAAGCTTTTTATCTTGATGAAGTCCCAATAGTTCATTTTTGCCGTTGCTTCCCTTGCTTTTGGTGATGTTTCTAGGAGAAGTTGCTGCGGCTGAGGTCGAAGAGGTTGCTGCCTGTGTTCTACTTTAGGATTTGGATGGACTGCAGTCTCATGTTTAGGTCTTTCAACCATTTGGAGTCTATTTTTGTGTGTGGTGTAAGGAAATGGTCCAGTTTCATTCTTCTGCATGTGGCTGTCCAATTTTCCCAACACGATTTGTTGAAGAGACTCTCTTTTTTCCATCGGACATTCTTTCCTGCTTTGTCGAAGATCAGTTGACCATAGAGTTGAGGGTCCATTTCTGGGCTCTCTATTCTGTTCCACTGATCTATGTGTCTGTTTTTGTGCCAGTACCATACTGTCTTGATGATGACAGCTTTGTAGTAGAGCTTGAAGTCCGGAATTGTGATGCCACCAGCTTTGCTTTTCTTTTTCATCATTCCTCTGGCTATTCGGGGTCTTTTCTGGTTCCATACAAATTTTAGGACTATTTTTTCCATTTCTTTGAAAAAAGTTGATGATATTTTGATAAGAATTGCATTAAATGTGTAGATTGCTCTAGGTAGCATTGACATCTTCACAATATTTGTTCTTCCAATCCATGAACATGGAACGTTTTTCCATTTCTTTGTGTCCTCCTCAATTTCTGTCATGAGTATTTCATAGTTTTCTAAGCACAGATTCTTTGCCTCTTTGGTTAGATTATTCCTAGGTATCTTATGGTTTTGGGTGCAGTTGTAAATGGGATTGACTCCTTAATTTCTCTCTCTTCTGTCTTGTTGTTGGTGTATAGAAATGCCACTGATTTCTGTGCATTGATTTTATATCCTGCCACTTGACTGAATTCCTGTATGAGTTCTAGCAGTTTTGGGGTGGAGTCTTTTGGGTTTTCCACATAAAGTATCCTATCATCTGCAAAGAGTGTGAGTTTGACTTCCTTTTTGCCGAATCGGATGCGTTTTATTTCTGTTTGTTGCTGTGACAGGATCCTAAAAGTAAGGTTGGAAAGGTGATAAAACACAGATATTTCTTAAGGAAGTTTTAACTTCCTGGTCTTAAATGGCAATAGGTTGGGAAAACTTCACAACTTATGCAATTAATGAAATCTTGAGAGTATCTTGTCCTGTGACTTTGTTGGGTATGGGATTTGATATTACCCTACTTTAAAAGCTAAAAAGTTACCTTGTTACTGTTTCATGTATGTTGGAAGACATGAGACTCCAGAGTCAGGGACACAGGACAGCATTACTCACAGCACAGTAAGCAGCTTGAGCATCAACATATTTACATGGGTTCCTCTTGCTCTCAAGTTCCAAAAGAGCCCAGATGACACCTGCTGATGCAGTGAGTTGTGTTATAGGAGAGAAACACCGAGGACTTCACTGCTTTTATAGCAAGCAGTAAGCAAGCCTGCTCTTTATCCCAGTAGGAGACACTTCCTCATTATTCACAGTTGCTTGCTTCAAACACAACTCTGAGAAATGGGCCAGAGCTTCACATCCTTAGCAAAGACAGCAAGGTGTTAGGAGCAAGAGAAGCCCATTGATGACTGTCTTCCAACAGGCTTTATGTATTAGGTTGAATCATGTGAAATTGCTGTTTTCATAGGTCAAAAATTCCAAGTATTGGTGATTTTATATGGTTCAACATAATTTCTCAGTGTTAATAAAGGTGCCTCCATGGTGCCTTTTTAAAAATTTTTTAGAAAGTTTGAATATACTGCATTTTCTGTTACTATTTCTTTTCTCCCACCAAACCCTGTTGGTGGTTTTTTTTTTTTTTCCATAAATGTTCCTACAAAGGATCTAAATCTTCTTGACTTACAGGTAAATTTAGAGTTTAAAATGATGCAAAATGATAAATTCAGATGGTATCCAAGCCTCTAACTCCTATTTTTTCTACATCAGTGTCAAAATGAGTTATATTTTTGTTACCACTCTGTATGACCAAGCTCCTGTTCCCCTTCCTTTTCTTATGTAGTTTAACCATCTTCTGATATGTTACTAAAATATATATTTTTCATATCACCCCAGTTATTCTTATCTCATATGTATAATTTGAATCTGGCCTAAATGTATCATGACACTAAGAGGAGCCCACTGCCCAAATATATAAAATTACAATACTAACTATAAAGGAGTTAAAAAACTAAAATGAATAATTATTAATCTCTGTTACAGTATGAAGTGATTGATATACTTTATGTATATCACCTCATGTAATACTCATAAGAATCCTGAGTTAGGTACTTCTATTTATTTGATGAAGAAATCGAGACAAAGAAAAGTAGCATGCCCATGCTGACACTGTTCTTAATAATTGTTGATTGATCAAATAATTATTGAGAATTTCATATTTATAGGAATTTTCTGGCTCTAGGATATCAGAAGCTCTAGTGGCCACCATCAGTGGTTCATACAGATCCCTTTGGACCCCATCTCTTGTATCTCTCTCTGTCCTTGACATTTTTTTTTTGCCTCTAATAGCTCACACATATGTGACTCTTCTTCTGATGGCTGCCCTTTGGTTACTGCACATACTTTGCCTGCAGCCAAAGAGAGTGAGACATGTATGGGGTTTGTTCCCATCCCTAGAAACCCCTAGCACCTGCCTGGATGGGAACTGACAAATTCACGAGTATAACACCCTGTTGCCTTGTAGTGGGTTGGGGAAAACTCTGAAGTATAACTCATGTTGCAGAGATTTTGTGGGATGAGTTTGAAGTTACCCTCCAAAGAAGTTTCTCTGAGGTTACAACTGTGCATGGCTTCTTCCCTTCTCCTGTCGTGCTGCCCCCACCCCCTACCAGCTTCTCTTGGGAGCACCTCCTGAGTAAACCATTTGTATGTGAATCCTCACTTGTGGGTCTACATCTGGGGAACCCAACGTAGGACAACCCCCTTGGGAATTCTTACCAAAACAAAATATATTCTTAATTTCCTAAAATGACCTTTAATAAAAGTCATACTAGGATTCCATAATCAGAATATGTCTGGGGATTATGAACATTGTATAGACAGAAATATTCTTATTTTGAAGACGTTATCATTCTAGAATATGAGGAATCTTGTTTCAGATAAGACTTTTATTTCAGGAAAACATATGCATTTCCAGTTTTGTCTTTATTGAAGGCAAAGTAAAAAAAGATCAGCCTTTATGGACTTGTAAATTTTGAAGTATTTGGTGTTATGATAAAAGTTTATGAGAAAATAATGCCACTTACCACAGTTTCCCACTCTGCTGTAATCCAGACTGCACAGTCTTTTCTTAGCTGTCCCCAAAAAGGAATTTTATTTCTTTCTAAGGAGTCATTCATTTAAAACAATAATAATAAAAAGTAAAGCTCCAAAGAGCTCAATGGTGAGTGTATTAACTCCTTCCCAAGCTGCATGTACCTTTCCCATGGAGCTCTTTTTACATTTTTTTCTGAGAACTTGTTCTTCTTTAAAAAATAAAAAAACATTTGAGCAAGTCAGCCCCAAAATGATCGTGCAAATCAAAGGTGAACAGTGTTCTTTTCTCTTCACACAATGACACAAAAGCAACCACAGAAACACAGAGGAGGCAAAGAGTAGTATGCATCCATGGGTTTGAACTCCCTGAAAACCCAGTTAACTAGGTAGAGGATCCTGAGAAAATGAGGTAGAAAGTCCAGGTAGAATCAGGTGGTTGAAGATCCTGAATGTCAAATAGTTTGGATATTATCCCTATAGGCTGCCTGAAGTCCTAATGTTTTTGCACAGGGAGGATAAATAAACACGTGTTTTGTAAAGATAAGTCTGGGAGGATGAATTAGAAGGAGACAGTTGGAGTGGAGAAGTCTGAGGCAAATAGTTCAGAAAATATACTCGGCACATATAAACTGAATAAGACTCAAGTGGAGTTGGAAGCCATAAAAATGGAAACAGGGACAGAAATCAGAGGTTGTTCAGAAAGATCCAGTGTGGGGTCTGTTAGAACACAGATGTGGAAAAGGAGGGTGGAAATTATTGCCAGTGGATAATTAGAAAAATTATGGCATTATAAGATCATGAGAACTTGTCTTAAGTCAAATTTGTTTCATCCTTACCTTGGAAGGTACAACAGACCAAAGCTGAAAGTGGACTTACTGATTCATGGAAGCCAGAAGGGAAGCTGTATGAAAAACAGAGGAACCACTGTTTCAGACAAGAAGTAGGAAATGCAAAGTTGCCATGTTGAAGTGTCAATTGAAACTTGGGCTTACTTTCCAACTTCAAGTCAGGTTGCTAGTCATAGGCAACCTTCATTTCAATTTCATGTTTCAAGATTTCCTTCAATATAGAAACTTGGTAAAAGCTTTAAAAAAGTTAAAAAACATAATATCCACCACCTTCTTCCTGCACATAAGCTAATGTACCCTATGACATTTATTTTATAATTAGGTTTGCAAGTCTATCACTTTAAAGGTTGACTATTTTCTCTAACGCAGTTGCTCCAAAGACTTGTTTTGCAGCAGAATTCCTATTTCAAATAAAAATGTACCTTAAAGCATGATATTGATATATCAATCAAACAAAACCAGAATTGCTCTGCTGATCTGGGGAGAGGGATGGTATTGGGTCTAGAGATGCCCCTCGGCCCCCTCCCACAATTTCCCTGAAGTCCTGAAGCACTTTCTGTTTTTTCTGTAGGCCCTTACTCCTCAAAGTGTGGTCCATGACCTGGTAGCTCCAGTCTCACCTGGAAGCTTGTTAGAAATTCAGATTCTTGGGTATCAGAATATGGGTTTAACGAGATCCTTAGGTAATTCATTGACCTTGAAAATTTAGGAAGCATGTCTCTAGAGTACACAAATCACTCAGAAACATGCTAAAACACAGATTCTTGGGCCACACCAATAGATCTGTGGCAGAGCGTAAAATGTCCATGTTTCACAAGCTCCCTAGTGATGCTGATGCTATTGGTACTCTAGCATACATTGAGTAACAAGAGGCTAGAGCAGTAGTTCTCCAATGTTAGTGTGTATCAGAATCATCTGGAAGGCTTGTTCAATATGGACTGACGGGCCCTTTCTCAATTTCTGATTTAGCAAATGGGGCCTGAGAATTTGCATTCTAAAAGATTTCCTGGTGATGTTGATGCTGCTGCTCCAGGGAACACAGTTTGGGAAACACTAACTTAGAGCCCTCACCTCATAATCAGGATAAAACTGCCATGAGGTAAGCAGAGAGTACCTTGATTTATTTTTTGAGTAAAAGGAGGTAAAATGTGAAAGATAAAATCTCTTCCCTCAAAGATCCTTGAGTCTACCTCAAAATACAGAAAAGTAAACTTAAGGAAAGGTACTGAAATGGAGGCCAGGTACATGGAGCTAACTAAGAATAAAAGAGCCATTAACTCAGCCTCTGTGTGGGGTGGGTGGGAGCCAGGGAAGATCTCACCAAGCTTCAAGCTTGAGCACAACTTGGAAATAGTCTGATTGTTTAAATGATCTGTAGTCCATGCAAGACACATTCTTTAATTTGAGGTCCTGATAATCGCCATGGATTTTCTATCCAATTATGCTACTGTAATTAAAAATACTCTCAAAGTCTTTTATGAGGCAGAATGCGATAGGGTGGGATAGGGTGGAGGAGTAGGGTTGGGAGTCAGCGGGCTTGCAGGGGAGCAGGGGAGGTGGGGAGAAGCCTGAACAAACCCTCTCTCAAGTGGGGAAGGAAAGGTTGGAATTAAATCTCAGTGAAGAAACATCTGGTTGTTTCTGGATCTTTGCCTCATAAAAAGTCAAGTATCTGATGTCAGCCGTTGTCCCCAATAACAGAAGGAAATTCCCAGGACCCTGCTTCTGAAGGAATGGAGTTCTTAAGCCCTAGGAACGGAGGGGTGTGCCTTTTTTCAACTGCCCACAGGTGTCCTAGGCAGATCTGTTTTTTTCTTTTTTTTTTTTTTGGATACAAGGGACTGACACCTCAAACAATCTGGCTTCAAACTTAAAAAAGGGAATTTATTGATTTGTATGACAGAAATGTTTAGAGGGAGTTCAGGAACAGAAGGATCTGGGAATTCCAAATATGTTTTCAGTGCTAGTGACTTTTCATATTTTAATTTTGCATCAGCTTTTTTTCTGTTGGTTTTACTGAAGCAGGTCCTTTCCATTTGGGGCAAGTGACCCTTAACAGCTCTAAGACTGTATCTTAGCCTCTCTGTCAATAGGAAAAGTGCTTCTCTCTTTAGTAGTTCCAGTAAGATGCCCAAAGAGAGACAGAATGAGCCTTCTTGGGTCAAGAGGTGGGAATATGCTGATGTCCAGGCCTGGGCCACATGTCCACTCATAGATCAGCTCTCCTAAACTATGTGGACTGAGACAAAAAATGAAGTCAAGCACTTGTAGTGGAAGAAGAATGAGTGGACACGGGTCAGTGAAAAGTCAAAGCTGACCATTCTACCAGGGAGAGGGCAGAGCTTTGCACAACCTCAGAATTCATCCCAACAGATTCAGAGGATCATATTCTCAAGAAGCGAGTCAAACTCTTTCTTGAAATGTGGGCTGGGCATACAACCAAAATTAGGTTTGAGGTTCCCCAAACCAAAGCCAAAGCCCATTCTAATCATAATGTCTACTTAATTGTAACAACAATGTCCCTGGGGCTCAAAGTCTGCGGGTAACTATTTTCATGGGCTAGTCCCAGGTTACATGTGTGGGAGACAATATAGGGCAGTGTTAATGGCGGAAATTCTGAAGCCTGTTGCCCAAGTGAAAAGCTCAGTTCAGTCACTTCATGGCTGTATATCTGGGGGGAGTTGCTGATCCTGTTTGTGTTTCAACTGTCTTATTGGTAAAATGGGAATACCAAGAGGATCTACGTTATAGACTTGTTGAGACAATTCAATAAGATAATATTTGTAAAGCACTTTGAGAGGTGCTGATTTTCCACAACAACATCACTTGTCCACCCTAGACCACTTCAACAGTCAAAGAGTAAATGCTCAATAAATGCAAAGAGTGGGGAGAGGAGGAGTAAGGCGGCAGAGGAGTAGGAGACCTAAATTTTGTCTGGTCCCAGGAATTCAGGTAGATAGGTATCAAACCATTCTGAGGGGCGCCTGGGTGGCTCAGTCGTTAAGTGGCTGCCTTCGGCTCGGGTCATGATCCCAGGGTCCTGGGATCGAGCGCCACATCGGGCTCTCTGCTCGGCAGGAAGCCTGCTTTTCCCTCTCGCACTCCCCCGGCTTGTGTTCCCTCTCTTGCTGTCACTCTCTCTCTCAAATAAATGAATAAATAAATAATCTAAAAACAAAACAAAACAAAAAAAACATTCTCAACACCAACAAACTCAACAGGAGATCGAAGAAAAGAATAGCAGCAACTCTATGAACAGAAAAGCGACCACTTTCTGGAAGGTATGATGTGCAGAGAGGTGAATCCGGGGTGATATTTGGGAAGATAGACCACAGGGGAAGGGAGCCTCCATCAATAGAGCAGCAGGGCACAAAATCAGAACTTTTAGAAATCGGCTCCACTGAGGGATGTTGCTACAGTGGCTAAGCAGGGGGTGGAACCCTTGCTGGAACAGTGTGGTCTCAGGACCTCAGGGTCACAGAAAGACCAGGGGTGCCTGAGTGCAGCAGAACTCCCAGATATTGGAGCAGGGAAGCCGGCTGCAAAGATGGAACTGAGAAGTGGGCTCTCAGCTTGGGGTTGCCATAAACTGTGATCCGCGGCACAGTCGAGCCACTGCTCTTCCAGCAGGGACCCAACAAGCAGCAGATCTGGGGAGACTCCCCTACCTCTTCCTCTTTTTAGAGTCATATTCTATCCCTTCATTGTAGTTAACCTTGTTTTTTTTTTATATATATAAGTTTTTCTCTCTTTAAAATTTTGGGATACAGTTTCTTCTAACAGACCAAAATATACTGTAAATCTCTAGTGTATGGCTTTGTTTTAGTCTCCTGCCTGATCACATTCTCTCCCTTTTTGTTTGTTTGTTTGTTTTTTTTAATTTTTCTTCTTTCTTTTTTCAACCAACTTCTTATCAATTCCTTTTATAAAATCTTTTATAATTTTCATCTTTACAGTCATATTCCATCCCTTCATCATATTTACCCTGATTTTTGTACATATATAAGTTTTTCTTTCTTTAAAATTTTGGGAGGCAATTTCTTCTAATAGACCAAAATATGCCCAAAATCTAGTGTGTGGCTCTGATCTATTCACCAGCCCGATCATATTCTTTTTTTTTTTTTTCTTTCCCTTTCTTTTCCCCCCAGTTTCGGGTCTCTTCTGATTTGTTTAGTGTATATTTTTCTGGGGTCGTTGTTACCCTTTTAGCACTTTGTTCTTGCATTCATCTATTCTTCTCTGGACAAAATGATAAGATGGAAAAACTCACCTCAAAAAAAAAAGAACAAGAGGCAGCACCGACTGCCAGGGACCTAATCAATACAGACATTAGTAAGATGTCAGAACTAGAGTTCAGAACGAAGATTATAAAGATACTAGCTGGGCTTGAAAAAAGCATGGAAGATACTAGAGAATCCCTTTCTGTAGAAATAAAAGAACTAAAATCTAACCAAGTCGAAATCAAAAAAGGCTATTAATGAGGTGCAATAAAAAATGGAGGCTCTAACTGCTAGGATAAATGAGGCAGAAGAGAGAATTAGTGAAATAGAAGACCAAATGATGGAGAATAAAGAAGCTGAGAAAAAGAGAAATAAACAACTACTGGATCACGAGGGCAGAATTTGAGAGATAAGTCATACCATAAGATGAAACAATATGAGAAAAATTGGGATCCCAGAAGAAGAAGAAAGAGAAAGAGGGGCAGAAGGTATATTGGAACAAATTATAGCAGAGAATTTCCCTAATGTGGGGAAGGAAACAGGCATCAAAATCCAGGAGGCATAGAGAACCCCCCTCAAAATCAATAAAAATAGGCCAGCACCCCGACATCTAATAGTAAAACTTAAAAGTCTCAGAGACAAAGAGAAAATCCTTAAAGCAGCTCGGGACAAGAGGTCTGTAACCTACAATGGTAGAAACAGATTGGCAGCAGACCTATCCACAAAGACCTGGCAGGCCAGAAAGGACTGGCATGATATATTAAGAGCACTAAATGAGAAAAATATGCAGCCAAGAATACTATATCCAGCTAGGCTGTCATTGAAAATA